TGGAAGCATCACACCAGCTGGGAGCCTGGGAGAGGAAGACCCAGGGAAGGGATGCTGCAGTAGGAAGGAGTGGGGGGTGGGGAGATGTCTGCTGCGGGCCAGTGCAACCACTAGGCGAACTAGGTGGCTGCCTAGGGCGCCAAGTGGTTGGGGGCACCAAAAAGCATGCTGAGGGGAGGAGGTGGAGTGGAGGTGAACTGGGGCAGGGGGGCGTGGGGAGGGCAGCCCACAGCAAGTAATGGGTCTGTGTGTGTGTAGGGGAACCACTCCCCCCCCAGCTCACCTCTGCTCTGCCTTCTCCCTTGAGCATGCCGCCCCCGCTCTAATTCTCCTCCCTTCCCAGGCTTGCCGTGCTAAACAGTTTATTGGCGCCGCAAGCCTGGGAGGTGGGAGAAGTGGAGCGGCACCAGCATGCTCAGGGGAGAAGGTGGAGTGGAGGTGAGCTGGGGTGGGGAGCTGCCATGGGGGGGCAGGGAGCTGCTGCAGTGGGGGCTCCCCAGCTCTTCCCTATGGCCCCACCCCTGCTCTGCCCCAGCGCTGCCCCCACTCCCCTGAAGACTGCAGCCAGATCTGACCCTGCACTCACTGCATGGTAAGTGGAGAGACCCAGCTTCAGCCTGCTCCGCTCCCCTGGCTCCCAGCCGTGCTGCCGGTGAGTGCTGGGGGGCGGTTCTCCCCTTCCTCCTCCCACCAAGCCTGGGAGCCAGGGGAGCAGAGCAGCCTGGGGCCCCAGGCCTCTACAGTGGGCAGTGTGGGGCCCTGCCCCAGGCCTCCGTGGGTGCGGGGGTTGGCTATTTCCTGTGGGAAGTAGAGTGACCTGGCCCCAGCCTTCTCTGCTTCCCTGGCTCCCAGGCTTGGGGGAGGCGGGAACCGCACCCCTGGACTCGCGGGTGGTGCGGCTGGGTGCCAGGGGACTGGAGGAGGCTGGTGCCGGGTCACTCCACTTCCCACAGGAAGTGGCCTGTCCCCCTCCCCCACATCCCCCACAGAGGTCTTGGGTCACCTCCTCCCCCTACAGAGACCTGGGGCAGGGCCCCCCACAGTCCCCCCCATGGAGTCCTGGGGCCAGCCCCCCTCCCCCCTGTGGAGGCCTGGGGGCTGTGTAGGGCACCAAAATAGCTAGGGATGGCCCTGGATCCCTGGGCCGGAGGGGGCGGGGGCACAAGATGGAAATTTCACCTAGGGTGCAAAATATCCTTGCACTGGCCCTGGTCAGCTGGATGAAGAGGAGGTGACTATGGGGAGGGGAGAGTCAGAGACAGGGCAGGTTTAACCAGAAGGGAGAGAAGAAATGAAATGGGAAAAGGTGAAGATAAAGAAAAACAGGAGTAAGGAGAGAAGCCCAGGGAAAGTGGGGGAGAAGCTGAAATGAGAAGAGTGAAGGCAAAACAAACCTGAGAAGGGAAAAGCTCAGGGGGCGTTGAGAGGGGAGGGGATACATTCAGCAGAGAGAACTGGGTGCCTGAGTTGGAATGATCTGTGACACGGATCAGAGAAGAGATAGGGAGACTCAGAGAACTAAACTGATGGAGAGCAAGTGCTAGAGAAAACAATGTATAAAACTGGATGAAATCAAAGGAGTGTGAGAAGGAAAGAGACCGAGAGAGGGAGATCTACAAAATGTTTCCGAAAAAGAGACTGTAGCATTAACACACACACCATAGTTCATGGACAGTATTTCCACTTTGGTACCTTTCAGAATGACACTTCTCCCAATTTGTGGATGCTTTTACCATGTGGTCTGGTTATGAAAGTTCCCTCTCAGCTCCTTTTAAGCCTGACATTTACTTAAGGTAAATGAAACATATCAAACTTTCTTCTTGTCTGTTTCCCTTTCATTCCGCAGCTGGGATTTTTGCAAGCAGATATGGGACTTCCCTTCCCCAAGTTGGTTGTGTCAACCCAGCCCCAGTGAGGATATCTTTGTATGTCACTGTGATGGTAGTCTGAACCTCACTGTGATATGTTACTCTCCAGCCTGCACTCTGGGCCATGTGCTTTATATAAACATGTACATCAGGGATTGTTCAGCTGTGCTCTCTAGAGAGAGCTGGTTGGGTCACTTTACTTCTCAGCTTCCAAATCTGTCCGGATACATTGGCCAGCCTGTGACATGTTACTTTCCAGCCTGCCTGGCTGTTGACTGCATATAGCCATGTAACTGGGGAACTGTTCAGGGAGCTGGCTAGTCACAGTGCCCAACAACATTCAAACATGCCAGGATGCGACACTAGCAAGAAACTTTATGTGCTGAATGGCTGAAATGTGGAATAGCTATGTCTGGTTGCACATCACTCCATAACCTACAGAGATAAATAGTGTCACGGCAGCAAACCTTGAAAAACAACAACATAGATAATTAATTTCATTTAATTAAACCCAAATACAAAGCACACTGAACTACCAAGTTCCTCCGCCTGGCTCTGCTGCAGGATTTGAGTCATGTCTCTTCAGTTCCCCACCACAAACCCCACCACATCAGCTGTGGGAAGAATTGGGGGGAGGGCTATCTCAGTGGTTTGAGCATTGGGCTGTTAAACCCAGGATTGTGAGTTCAATACTTAAAGGGACTACTTAGGGATCTGAGGCAAAATCAGTACTTGGTTCTCCTAATGAAGGCAGGGGGCTGGACTCAATGAACTTTCAGGGTCCCTTCCAGTTCTGAGATTCTCTCCAATTGCTGACACTTTCCACTGGGGCTTCCATATTAGAGACCCTGGTTCTAGTCCTCATTTTGACTTCAGTGACCTTGTGCACTTTCTCTGTTAACTTACTAGCAAAATGGGCTGCAATGGTGTCCAATAC